GTGTGTGTGTGTGTGCGTGTGCACGTGCTCACACGCGCATGCATCAGGTGTTTTCACATGTTTACGTGGTCATGTAAACCAGATGATTTTCGACTTTCACATGCATTTGGCTCAGTGGGAATGAAGGAGCCAGGAATAGTCAGAGAAAAAAAGTCAACTCCTTCAACTTTCTTCTCCCAGCCCTGAGTGGGTCCCCCTTCTGGGCAAGTAGGAAGGAAGTCTTTTCCTCTTTTAATCCCCCTTTAGCCTTCACCCATTCCCAGGATCATCCCAGAAAGGCCGTTGGGAAACAGCAGCGCTTCCATGCCAGGTAGAGGGGCTGTCCCCAGGTGGGCACATACAGTGATAACATAGTTTAAAACTGAGTGCCCAATAAAGGACAATATGAGAAGCGATACACGATAATGTCGATCAGAAAGGAGTGGTCCTTTCCCGAGACACAGTATGCACGGGGAGCTGAGGCCATCTTAGTTTGAGCCCTTCATTGTGCACTAACTTCCCTGATGAGCGCTACATCATTTTGACTTTCCCTGACCTGAGTTTTCCTGTAAGTGAAAATAGTCACCATTAACGACACATTTACTACATGCTGGCCCTTATTCTAAGCTTCGGATTTGGACCATCTTTTCTCATCCTTATGTCACCTTTGAGGAAGGCACCATTCTTTGCCCCTGTTTTAGAGAGGACAAAACTAAAGTACAAAGGGATGACGTTACTTGAACCAAGTTAGCCAAATGGGAGGCAGCAGACCTGGGGTTCAGAGCCTGCCTCATCAACTACTACGCCGTGTGCCTCACGGAACGTGCAGGGCTGGCTTTTCTTTCCAGATTAATGGCAGAGCTCTGGACGGAGGCCGCCTCCCTAGGACATAGTCATTACTTGCATTCGGCGTAGTATCCTTAGCATCCTCGGGAAGCTCAAAGGATCACCTGCCCCTCAGCTCGGTACTCTGGCTCAGACAACACTTCTGTGTTATGGCTCAAGACTTGGCTGCCAGTTAACTTGCCTCCCCTCACTGTCCCACCCTAATGAAAGGAGAAATGAAAAGAACCTCCGAGTATTTGAAAGTGTCCTGGTTTGATTCAAAAGGCACAATTTGTCTAGAAACTGCAGGTGATGTCATTTCAAAACAATTTCTGTTTTTAATGGTGAGGAATCGTTCTTATTTCTTGATTGGTAGTTTGCCTGAACAACATCCACATCCAAGACAACGATAACATGCTGCTCACTTTCACCCACTTTTGGCCCTGGGCCACCCCCCTCCTTCTGTATATTGTCAAAAGGAGGTGCCCGAGGACCCCGGCCTGCCCCGGCCTCCACGACCGTGTACACGGAGTGTCCATCCAGGGTGTTAAAGCAGGTGTCTGCCTGAGGAAGGTCTGAAGGACACAGAGCCAGAGGACCATCCTCGTGGCGACGGTTTCGGGCCTGGTGACCAGCAGATGCCCCTCCTTCTCTTGCAGCCCCTTCAATGACCGGCCGATGTGCAGGATCTGCCACGAGGGCAGCAGCCAAGAGGACTTGCTCTCCCCCTGCGAATGCACGGGGACCTTGGGGACAATTCATCGGAGCTGCCTGGAGCACTGGCTGTCGTCCTCAAACACCAGCTACTGTGAACTCTGCCACTTCAGGTTTGCAGTCGAGCGCAAACCCAGGCCGTTAGTGGAGGTCAGTCACTGGGGCACGTCCTGAAAACTTAGCTCTAATGAGCAAATGATGTCTGCTTTTATGCCCGGATCACAAACCTGGTGCAGCTCAGTGAAGCACAGCAATAGCAGTGTGCGTGAGTGTGAGTGAGTGTGCGTGAGTGTGTGTGGGTGCATGAGTGTGCGTGTGTGTGTGTGAGAGACACAGAAACAGTTCACACGCTCGCTCCGAAGCCAGCAGTAGAAAGGTGATCTCCACGAGGAGACAGGAGAGTGGGGAAGTTGACAGAGCTGCTTCCCCTTTTTCCATCCCTACGAAATGGAACAAAGAGATCCAACACTCTCTCTTTGCACACCATCTGCCCAATTTGAAGCAACAGGTAAGTGGGCATTTGGGTTGCGTAGCCTGAGAGGTCTCTGTGAAAAAATAGAGGTGCACAGGATAATGGATGCTGACTTACTCTTCTGGGATCTGAGTAAGTTCCTTGACCTTAGGTAAGTAATTTTACCTCTTGAAATTACTATGAAGCTTAAATGAGGTAAGATTTCTAAAGCACTTAGAATACCAAGTACATATCCAAGTGTTTGAATTAAAAAAAAAAAAAAATCTCTCTTAGGAAATTATACACAAGCTTTTTTCAGCTAATAACCTAGCACTGGAATCTCTTTTCTTTAAAAGGCAGGCATTTCAACCCAGCCATTAAAATGGCAGGACACTCTTTCATATTTTAGGAGCCACACATTTCTCCTTTAGACCAAAGGTCTAGTCCTGTATTAGCTAGAAGCAGCGGAAAATATCATTAGACTATTTTGCCTTCTCTCCTACCCTCCATTTCTACTAGTCAATTAAAAATTGGATGTTAGCAACAATAAATATTCTAATATATTATGAGCCAGAGCTAACCTTTGAAAGAGACCGAGACCAAGATTATGGGCCTCTAATCCAGACCCTCCACTGATAACCTCCCCCTTCCTTCAGCAGCTGACCCAGCAGAACTTTGGCATTAAACTAAAGCTAGAAATCAAGACGCCCTTCTTGGAGACTTTAAAACAGGACGTTAGCACCTTGGCACTTACGGCTCTGGAGAGCTCTGCATATACCTGCTCTCCTGTTTGACCTTGAAAATTTAATCAGGACCTGTAAACTGGGGCCTGTTTTAGCTATGACATACTTGCCAAATGGCACGAGATTTATTTGACTTGCCTCAGTACACCTTCTGCTTTAAGACTCTGGATCGAGTGACCTCTTAATTTAGCAGTCTTGCTGCTTGACATCCACTATCAGAAATTCCTATTTTAATCTGGCCCCACGCCACATTCCCTGGGATTTACATTTCAGAACTTCTCTGCAGAGGTGGGGGCCGGGGGCGGGGTGAGTATAATTAAACAATAAACAAGGGAGGCGAAGATTTCTCAAGCCCAAAGGCGAAAGTGAAAAAGAAGCCTATTTCTCCTCTCCAGAAATTTCTGGAACCTCCCCAAGTTGATACTGCACCTTCTCCAGGGAAGCTAGCTTCCCGGACTAAAAACAAAACAAAACAAAAAAACAAAAACACAACTCTGGTTAAAAGGGCTACAATCCAGTGGTCTTCACTGGTATCTCCCCAGTAAAGAAGACTCTTATTTTTGCTTGGTAAAAATCCCAGTGTGTGTGTGTGTGTG